GCAATGCAAGTTCCAACACTTCTACTGAGAAACCATTCCACAGCCTACTAGATCTGTGTCCACGTTTTTCTGAAGAGTCAGCCAACATGTTCCTTTTCCAGTTATAACATTCACACCACCCTACATAATTTATCTCCTACCTTGGTGCTTACCTGAAAAATTTTGTAAGCGTTATGTTCCCTTCGCTCTGCATCCTTCTACTGGCTCCCTGTTCTCCATTTCATCAAATACAATGTTTTCACTTCCAAGGCCTTTCACAGCTTCTCTCACATGCTATCAAGATCTCAACTCCCACCTCCATCCTGCCAATGAAGGCAGCCTTCATCACCCACTTGTTACACGTTAAACAAGCACCTTCAGGCTCTCTCTCACCATGCTGTACACATGGGATGAGCTCCACATAAATACCCTCAAAGCCACTTCATGGTCCCTTTTCACATCTCTCCTTAATTCTCCTCTTTGTTGGAATACCTACAAAACTCATGACAACCATCGGGCAGCAGGCATGGTGAGCCCACTGCCTAGCATGCTAACCAGTCCTGACTTGTTTCTTTATGCTCCCCAGTCTGCTTGTCTGCATTCACCTTGTCCTAAACTGCAAGCTCTTTGCAGCAGGAACCATCTTTTGGTGTGTTTGTACAGCGCCTAGCACAATAAGTCCCTGGTCCATGACATGAGGTTCTAAAGCAACAAAGAACCTCCTTCACAAGTCAGTCCTGCCAGCCCACCATACAGTTTTATATCTTCTGCAAATTTAATTAGTGACCTTTTGGTTCCTCTTCTAGATCTAGATCACTAATAAAGAGGTAGAATAAGTCTGAATGTATGATTCTACCCTAGTGCATTGCAGTTCATCACACCAAGGGTCTTATTCTCCCATAAGTCTAGTTCACACGAGTAGGGATATGATTGTCATGCCAATTTTTAAAACATTTCATGGCAGAGGTTGAGAAAAATAGTTATAGATCATAAAAAGAAGACGACAAGGGGATCGGAGAGTGAGCCCGCCACTGCTACAGGGTGAGCATGGGGTTCCAGCCCCCTCTACCTGTCCTACACATTTGAACCACCATTCAGGTTTTGCACATCCACCCCTCCAGAGATGGAGGGACAGAGGGGTAAATTTGATTGGTGTTACACCCTAGCACATAGTTTTGATGCACAGAAAGTTGGCCAGAAATGGAGGGGCAAATATGCCAAGAATGAGTGGACTAGGTCACACTGCCACTTGGTTTGGTGGCATTTCATGGATTTTATTCAAACTCAGTTTCCACGACCACTATGACATCCATGACAAAACTGTAGCTTTACCCTCAAGCACTAAAAGTACTTGATATGTACACAAATCCCTGGGAGAAGAGACCTTTTATATTAATCTTATTGCATCAAGGTGCTTTTACAAACAACAAATTTGTCTTTTTAGTAAAAACACTATTACTGTTTCATCTTACAATTCTCTCTATTTTGATGCAGAAAGAGGAACTGATCTTTACAGTACTCAGTTGTGTAAAAAAAAAAAAGTAAAACACAGCTGCCTCTAGCATAATAAATTGCCAATTGATTTAATGCCAGCAATCAAAAATTATTCTAGTTGGAAATAAGTATTAAGTTGGGTAAGTAAAAGATTTAGGCAGAGGCCCATTTAATCAGAATCATTCAACTTTTGGTCCAACCACCAGTATTGGTAATTACAATTTCCTTTATTTTAACAGGCAACTCTGGTTTTTTCTTTTTTTTTGTCCAAATCTCTTCTGTGATCATGATGAAAGCAACAAGCAGTAATCATCAATATGAAAAGCAATAAATATATCCTACAATTCAGTCAGCCTATGATGCGCAGAAAGTTATATTATTGCTAGTAAGTTGTGCTGCTTCCAATCAAAAACAATATTCTCAAATATTACATACAAATAATGCACGACTCAAAATATCTTCTGCCTGATCTCATTAAGGCTTGTTATAATTTCTCTGGAAATGTGACACCACCTTTTTAATGCAGATGCACAAGTTTGTTTATAACAAAAACATCTTTGAAAGACAAAAGGATGGCATTTTGCTAGCATTAATTTCTTTGCAGTTCTCTGTAGCCAATTATTTCATATAATTATTTCTGATGTGGTTAATTCATATGTAATCAATGTGTGATAAACAGAGGTAGATAAAAGTATAGGAATGAGTACAATAGTATTATAGGGGTATAAGGCTGACATATTTATGAGTGATGAGTCTTTATTAAGTATATAAACAAAGTAAGGCTAATACAAGATCTACAGCCTGAGGCCTGTACAACTGTAGGTTACTCATATTAGGTTTTAGACCTAAAGAAGGGTTGACATAACCCTGTACCAGTAAACTTACAAGATTACTGTAAAGAATGTGCCAATGAGTGATGTTCAGGAAAATATGCCACAAGGTACCCATCTAAATGGCAAGGCACCTGATTGGGACATCAGGGAAAATACTGCAGCAACTGCATGTTGCCATGGGGACTTGTTGCCATAAATACCAATGAAAATAATGGGAATTAAGAGGATATCTTATGAAAGGCAGGGTACCCCACATTTTATGGGGTGCAGAAATCCCAGTAAAGAAAAAGGATTTGGAACCTTCATGCACGTGCATAAGGGTTATGGACGTGAGCGTAACACAGCACAAAAAGGGTGCCCCAACACAAATGGGAAGAAAGAATCCATCAGAAGACCCTCCACAGAGTTTATATCAGTATAACATGTTTCTGAAACACTACACTCAGGGGACAGCACCGATTTAAAAAGGTTCCCCCCCACACACACACTTTAGTTAAATTTGTCCAAAGACAGACTGTAGACAAGCATTTGTAGACTACTAATGCTTGTGGCATTTAATTTCTACCTATCTATTTATATAGCATTCACTGCTATTATCTTAGCAGCTGTGTTGACAAATATACTGTAATGAACTTCAGCCAGGAATTGTTTTAACTGTGTTTCACTTTGAATTAATGTTCTCAGAAGTCACCTAAAAAAACTTATGTTTCTCCCTTCGCTGTAACTACTATACAAATGGACCAAAACTTATCAAAATGGTCAGTCTGGAAATAGCATAGCTAAGTGATTTTTTTCTGTATTACCAGAGTCCCCTTTACAGAAACAAGTTAGTCCAGTAAGAGATATTACCTAATCTCACGCATCTTGTCTCTCTAATATCCTGGGACCAACATGGCTACACTTCAGAATCCTCTTTCACACACAGTGCTCTCCCCTCTCATACCTCTACGTCCAGTCTGAACAGAAAGGCTGATTCTGTCCCTTACCTCCAGACCCAAACACCATAACACCTCTGAACATACACTGATGGGCAGAAAGCTTGATTTTTTTTAATCCACTTGCCATAATTTTCTTGTTATTCACATCAAGGGTGGAGAACGAATGACATATTCTAGATACAGCCCCACCCAAAATAGTCGCTAGTGCAAAGCAAGCGCACATCCCTCTATAGAAATCAGAGAGTATGTAACTGTCCCCTCCCCAGTCATGTAGTGTATATTGAGACCCTCAATTGATAGAAGTACTTCCAACCAACATGTGCTGCAGATGTTGAGTTTGGAAGCTAGAATTCTCCTATAGAAACATTTATTTTGCTTCATTTAGCTTTATTTGTGTGCGCACGTCTCCTGCACACACATGTATGCCTCCTAGTGGGACATGACCATTCTCTCCCTCTTACAGCTCAGCATCCCTGCTCCCTCCTCTCAGCTAGGGACACACAGCCTAGTCCCAACGAAGCTCCTGAGGTTCACTAGGCAAAACTAGAAAAGGACTGCCCAACCAGGACTTCTGTGGCCACAAGTCCTTGGAGTATTCTTGCCTAAGGGCTTGTCTACATTACCCGCATGACTCACAGGCAGCGATCAATGCAGTGGGGGTCGACCGCCAAACGCTCTCCTGTCAACTCCGGTACTCCACCAGGGCGAGAGGCACAGGCAGAGTCGACGGGAGAGCGTCAGCCGTCGACTTACCGCAGCGAAGACACCACTGTCAGGGCACGTCTACACTACCCGCCAGATCGGCGGGCAGGAATCGATTTAGCGCCTCTAGTCTAGACGCGACAAATCGACCTCCCCCGAGCGCTCTCCCGTCGACTCCTGTACTCCAGCTCCGCGAGAGGCGCAGGCGGAGCCGAGGGGGGAGCGGCAGCCGTGGACTCGCTGTGGTGAGGACACCGCGGTGAGTCGCCCTAAGTACGTTATTCACGCAGCTGAAGTTGCGTCACTTAGATCGACCCCCGCTCTCACCTCCACCCCCCCCACACACACACGCACGCACAACCCTGCCCCCCCCACCACACACACAACCCTGCCGCCCCCCCACCACACACACACACATGCACAACCCTGCCCCCCCACCACACACACACACACACACAACCCTGCCCCCCCCACCACACACACACACACACACACAACCCTGCCCCCCCCACCACACACACACACACACACACACAACCCTGCCCCCCCACCACACACACACACACACACACACAACCCTGCCCCCCCACCACACACACACACACACACACCCGGCTCCAGAGCCCGAGCCGGAACGGCCACACGGCGATTTATTGCTCGCTCGCTCGCTCGCGGCCGCCTGGCCAGAGTCTGGCTGCCCGGCGGGGAGACTCGGCCCCGGCCGCGGCGCAGAGCTAGCCCGAGAAGCCTGGGCTCCCAGCGGCTGGGCTGCCGCAGCTCCTGCCCCGGGGCTCCCAGCTGCAGTGGCGGCGCGGCCTCGGCGGCCTCCCCCTCCTCTCCTCACGAGGGGCGGACCCGGCGCCGGAGCCCCCGGCCGGCCGGGGAGGCCTGGCGGCAGCTCGGGCAGACCCAGCTGCAGCATCCGCGAGGCCCCGGGCGGGCTCGGGCCGCGGCCCGGGGGGGCGCGCTAGGACCCCGGGGACCGCCCGCCCGCCCGCCCGCAGGGAGAGGGGAGGCCGGCGCCCGGCACTCTCCGCATTGGGGGTCCCCTGACCTGCTCCAGCGCTTGCTACGCTCCCGCGACTCGCCCAGAACCCGCCGCGCGCGGGCCACGTCATCAGGCCGCCGCCCGTCGCCCCGCAGCACGTCACCTCCCTCCGCCGGGGCTGGAAAGTTACCCGAGGGTAAGCGCATGCTCCGTGAGGCCCTGTCGCGGTGCATGCTGGGGGTTGGAGTTTCAGGGCCGGGTCGGTACCTGGGAGAGCGGCGCCAGCTCCATCCCCCGAGCCTGTGGCGCGGGCCCCGTTCTGCCGCTGTGTTTCTCGGCGGAGCGGAGTGGGCTGCGGGGCCGGCGGGGGATGCCCCTTCCCGGTTCCCTGCGGGACTGTGCGCGGCGGCCGGGAGCGGCGGGCGGCGGCGGCGGTTGGTGAAGGGCAATTGCAGCAATGGAGTAAGTGTCTCCCTTCGCCTAGCGACGGGGGCTGTGGGGAGGGGGCACGGGAGTGGGGGTTCAGTGGGGGGTGCGGCGTGAGGGAGGGGGCACGGGAGTGGGGGTTCAGTGGGGGGTGCGGCGTGAGGGAGGGGGCACGGGGAGTGGGGGCTCAGTGGGGGGTGCGGCGTGAGGGAGGGGCACGGGAGTGGGGGTTCAGTGGGGGTGCGGCGGGAGGGAGGGGGCACGGGGTGGGGGTTCAGTGGGGGTGCGCGTGAGGGAGGGGGCACGGGGTGGGGGTTCAGTGGGGGGTGCGGCGTGAGGGAGGGGGCACGGGAGTGGGGGTTCAGTGGGGGGTGCGGCGGAGGGAGGGGGCACGGGGAGTGGGGGCTCAGTGGGGGGTGCGGCGTGAGGGAGGGGCACGGGGAGTGGGGGTCAGTGGGGGGTGCGCGTGAGGGAGGGGGCACAGGGAGTGGGGGTTCAGTGGGGGGTGCGGCGTGAGGGAGGGGGCACAGGAGTGGGGGTTCAGTGGGGGGTGCGGCGTGAGGAGGGGGCACGGGGAGTGGGGGCTCAGTGGGGGTGCCGGAGGGAGGGGCACGGGGAGTGGGGGTTCAGGGGGTGCGGCGTGAGGGAGGGGGCACGGGGAGTGGGGGTTCAGTGGGGGGTGCGGCGTGAGGGAGGGGCACGGGGAGTGGGGGTTCAGTGGGGGGTGCGGCGTGAGGGAGGGGGCACGGGGAGTGGGGGTTCAGGGGGTGCGGCGTGAGGGAGGGGGCACGGGGAGTGGGGGTTCAGTGGGGGGTGCGGCGTGAGGGAGGGGGCACGGGGAGTGGGGGTTCAGGGGGGGTGCGGCGTGAGGGAGGGGGCACGGGGAGTGGGGGTTCAGTGGGGGGGTGCGGCGTGAGGGAGGGGGCACGGGGAGTGGGGGTTCAGTGGGGGGGTGCGGCGTGAGGGAGGGGGCACGGGGAGTGGGGGCTCAGTGGGGGGTGCGGCGTGAGGGAGGGGGCACGGGGAGTGGGGGTTCAGTGGGGGGTGCGGCGTGAGGGAGGGGGCACGGGGAGTGGGGGTTCAGTGGGGGGGTGCGGCGTGAGGGAGGGGGCACGGGGAGTGGGGGCTCAGTGGGGGGTGCGGCGTGAGGGAGGGGGCACGGGGAGTGGGGGTTCAGTGGGGGGTGCGGCGTGAGGGAGGGGGCACGGGGAGTGGGGGTTCAGTGGGGGGGTGCGGCGTGAGGGAGGGGGCACGGGGAGTGGGGGTTCAGTGGGGGGGTGCGGCGTGAGGGAGGGGGCACGGGGAGTGGGGGTTCAGTGGGGGGGTGCGGCGTGAGGGAGGGGGCACGGGGAGTGGGGGTTCAGTGGGGGGTGCGGCGTGAGGGAGGGGGCACGGGAGTGGGGGTTCAGTGGGGGGGTGCGGCGTGAGGGAGGGGGCACGGGGAGTGGGGGTTCAGTGGGGGGTGCGGCGTGAGGGAGGGGGCACGGGAGTGGGGGTTCAGTGGGGGGTGCGGCGTGAGGGAGGGGGCACGGGAGTGGGGGTTCAGTGGGGGGTGCGGCGTGAGGGAGGGGGCACGGGAGTGGGGGTTCAGTGGGGGTGCGGCTGAGGGAGGGGGCACGGGAGTCTGGGTTCAGTGGGGGTGCGGCGTGAGGGAGGGGGCACGGGGAGTGGGGGTTCAGTGGGGGGTGCGGCGTGAGGGAGGGGGCACGGGGAGTGGGGGTTCAGTGGGGGGTGCGGCGTGAGGGAGGGGGCACGGGGAGTGGGGGTTCAGTGGGGGGTGCGGCGTGAGGGAGGGGGCATGGGAGTGGGGGTTCAGTGGGGGGTGCGGCGTGAGGGAGGGGGCACGGGAGTGCGGGGTGCAGCATGGGGGAGGGGGCACAGAAGTGGGGGTTTAGTGAGGGGGCTGCAGCTTGGGGGGAGGAGTACTCATGGAAAGTAGGGAGTTACTGGGGGGCTGCAGCTGAGGGAGGGAGGTTAGTGGAGGGACTGGTCTTCCATACCATGGCTTTTGGGTGGTTGGGGTCATCACTGGGAGAAATGGGGGTTTACCGGGGGCTGCATTCAGGGACAAACTAGAGGGCAGTAGAGTGGCAGGCTGTGGGGGATTACAGAGGACTGTGTGGCACTAGAGTGGGGCTATGCCGTGCCACCGAGTCTCCTGGGGAATCCCCCAGTCCTGGGGGCTGTAATAGAGGAGATTAGTGGCACTATGGGGGACAGTTATTGGGGGGAGCATGACAGAAATGGGGCTATGGGGATGATTATCAGGAATGGGGGATTGTGGAGGAGGGTAGTAGTGATGGGGGCTGTGATGGGATGGTTATTGGAGAAGTTTGAGGGTGGCACATAAAGTGGAAGGATAGAAGCCATCCCAGAGATTGGGATCTCTTCCCATGTTGCTGAGCGTCATGGTAGAAGACCAGGATGCAAGCATCTTTGTGGGGAAAGTAACACTGAGCAGAGATATGTTAAGAAGCATCGCAGGTCCCGGACACAAATGTTATGGTCTGTGTCTGCTATATATTTGTTATTTCCAGCTGACTGGTAAAGATGGAGAGAGGGAGAGGAGGAGGAGGAAGGAGTGTGGGGGGCTCTGGCCTGCACAGAAGCATTTACTCCCAGTCTCAACAACAGTATCAGTATCCTGCCTCTTCTCAAGGGGGCTGCATGGAGATCCAGGAGCTAGCCTCCAAAAGGGTGGACATCCAGAAAAAGCGATTTTATCTGGATGTGAAGCAAAGTTCCCGAGGCCGCTTCCTGAAGATAGCCGAGGTCTGGATAGGAAGAGGCAGGCAGGAAAATATCAGGAAAAGCAAACTGACTCTCTCCTTGTCTGTGGCTGCTGAGCTGAAGGATTATCTGGGAGATTTCATAGAGCACTATGCCCATTTGGGCCTCAAAGGCAGCCATAGTCATAGACATGAACACAGTAATGGTAAAGAGCAAGATTTGAGAAGGCGGCAACAGCATCATCTGCCTTCACCTCCAGCATCTGTTGAATCAGAAGAGCATCCTCACAGTGTCCTGAAAACTGAGTATATAGAAAGAGACAACAGGAAGTATTATCTAGACCTGAAGGAGAATCAACGTGGGCGTTTCTTAAGGATTAGACAAACCATGATTAGAGGACCGGGTATGATAGGTTATTTTGGCCACAATTTGGGACAGGAACAGACTATTGTCCTTCCAGCCCAAGGAATGATTGAATTCAGGGATGCTTTGGTCCAGCTAATTGAAGAATATGGGGAGGGAGATATAGAAGAACGAAGAGGTGGGGGTGATGAGCCCCTCGATCTCCCAGAAGGGACTTCCTTCAGGGTGGACAACAAGCGGTTCTACTTTGATGTGGGATCTAACAGGTATGGCATTTTTTTGAAGGTAAGTGAGGTGAGACCACCTTACCGTAACACCATCACTGTCCCGTACAAAGCATGGACAAGATTTGGGGAAAACTTTATCAAGTACGAAGAAGAAATGAGGAGAATTTACAACAGCCATAAAGAGAAAAGAATGGATGTCACAGGTGACAGTGGTGAAGAACAAGAGGGTCTGGAATAGAGTGCATTGAACTGGTCATCAGGCAAAACAGAAAAACCTAAATTGGCTAGAGGTAATTGGAATATTTTGTAGTTTGAAGAAGTTGCCCCTCATTTTATGTAAGTCTTTTTCCTGTTGTTAGTGATAACTCAAGTATATAATACGTCTGAAGTCTGGTTATGTTAAATGACATATTCTTAGGGAAATATTAGCCTCCCAAATCTAAATGAATCAGCTGTTCCAAGTGTTGAAGACTATGAAAGTATGCGTATCAGCACAAAAATCTGACATTCTGACCTTTAAATAGTCTAGGTTAGGCTTGTGTTGCACTCAAACATGATACAAAAAAAGCCAGACGTACCTTATGATGAAAAGTATTGGTTTCTGCTTATGACAGGTTTTCCAGAATTGAATATTGTCCATGCTGAGTTAAAATCTGAAAAGCGTAACTACAGGTCATTTACCACAAAAATTGACTTTGTATGCATTTTATCTACTTGTATGAGGAAAGGTAGAAATTTTAAATCAGTGTTCGCTAGTTACTGAATTTTAAGCAATGTTCTTTATGGGTAAAATCTCGATAGCAGGTCAAGCCTTTATAAAGGATTGTCAAAGAGTGGAATATTAATTTCTTATCTTAATAATTCTGTGGTAACCAAATAATTTGAGTGCCACAGAAAAGCAAAGCTGTGTTTGAATTGTGATGGGTTATCCCAAATTAATGAAAATAATCCATTCTTCATCTACACATTACATCATGTAATGCTGAGGATTTTTTAATGTGTTCTCAAAATTTCAAAAACTATTTTTATATTGTTGGTGGTTTGGGGGGCTCTAGCAAGGAGCTGGGAAGTGGGCATTTTGGTGGCTGAATGATTGTTGCAAGTGGGTTTCCAGGGTTTTCTTCCTATTGTATGAGTAACATACTTGGTGTGATGTTAAAAGTATGAGGATAACTTCTGGTTTTGTCCTTCTACTTTGAGGAAAAACCTTTGGGAGATTTTGGTGCACCACTTAATTGGTATAAAAATGCTTCTCTAATTTCATACTTATTGGTAGTGCATTTACAATGCTATGGCTAAAGCTGTGTCAGCATTTCCAGTATAAATTATTATTTTTATAAATTTTAGTATTCCAAGATAATATCTATGCCCCCACCTCCATCACTCCTTCCCCACCATGTTAAAACTGGGGCCATG